CTCTGTATATGTGTAATTTGAATTTCTTAATCATTTTTACAATTTTTCAATCAAGTCGTGGTGAAAGTGCCGGTGCTGATGATGCCGACAATAAGGGATTCTTTCAGTGGTTTAATTCGGGTCAAGATCTTCAAGGTGAAATCTCAACCAGTGACGGTTTTTGTTACGGAAGTGGTATATGCGTGAACAGATGTGGGGTATTGGCGGTATGCGACAGGAGGCTGAGTGAAGTGAAATTTTATCGTTTAGTGGCAGCTGGATAGGTTGCATTGGTCCTGTTTTTTCCTTTTGTCTCAAATGACTCAACGCATTATTCTTATCATTACGTCAAGTTTCATTACTTGTTAATCTTACCCTTGTGATCTCCTGGCTACTAATAACATGCACAGAAAAGAGGAGTCAAAATTTAATATCTGCTCGGTTAGGATTTGCAAGGTATTGTTGAGGAACTTGTATTATTTGCATAAGTAACAGTTTGTACATTTCCGGTTTAACTTGGTTCTTGTAAATTTTATGGATTAATAAAAGTAATCTGAAAAGACGGTTTGGTGTGTCGTTGTCGATCTCGTTCAAGTCGACTAACTCTAAATAGGGTTGGAACAACTAGTTTTATAATATGTTTTCTAGGTGTAATGTGTGCTCTTTTGATTGTGTGAGGTTTAATGAAGTGGTAATCGGAAGGTAAGGCAGATTTGGCGTCGAAGTTGCGTCAAATCTGCGAAAAGCTGCATCTCTCAATTTCTTTTTGTGCCATTATTTCTTGAAGGTTTGTAATGTCGGGTTTGCTTATGAGTGTGCGGGTGGGGAAATGGCTGTAAGTGGAAGTGTTTTTAGGGGGTTTCGGTTAAATTTCGCGGATGTCTGTTGAGGACCTTGCGGAAGGATGTTGGTTAGTTTTTGCTGCTACTGCTGCTGTGGGTCTTTCAGGGCTGAAGTTCAGAGTGGTTTCCAAGTGATAGTTATTGCTGGGTTTCTTGACTTTTTTGAGTATCTGGTAATATCATGTGCATTACTGGCTGAAGCGTGGTCTTCGCTGTTTGAGTGTGGCGCACAGGGAGAGCGTGCTGAGCCTTATGATTACTGCGTCGTTATGTCCGCTTGACATGGAAAATATTTTTTTTGAAAGCAGCGTTCTGCTTTAGGACTGTGTAGTGTTTGCTTGCTTTCTAGGTTCCACGTTTGCGTTTAATAACTTCTCTAAAATAACGTTTTTAATTAAGGAGGAAGAGGACTGGTGGACGGGCAAAGTTTTTGAATTCGTGCATTTCGTCCGCAGAAGCTTTGAAAGGTTGCAGTTTAGTCTCCTGAAAGACTCTGTTCAAATCTTTTGGAGAGGCATTTTAAACTGTCAAGAATGCCCAGCTTCAGGGATGAAAGAGGTGTCAGAAAAAATGGTTGTGTCATACGTTATGACTGTGCGAGGGATGGAAAGTTAAAGTTGAAGTGCGAGGAAACTTCGATTTTTAAGGCAGGATTGGAGCTTTTAATGAAAGAGACGATTCTTTCTGCTTCGTCCTTGATGTTTTAGGTCTTAACGTCTCAGTTTTTTTGGTGCAACCGAGGAAGAGTGGATTTAAATTAGCAGAACAATGGATGCTACTAGTATTGGAACTCCTGTTGACTTAGGGATCGATCAGGTGTAAAAATTTTTATTTTAGCCAAAACGTGGTGCTTCGTAACGTTGCTCTATGTTTATTGGACCTGGAGGTTTCTCGTTTTTCACGGATGAAGATGGTTTCTTGTCTTAGAGCGATACACGCGTGGAGTGTAAAGCTTGCCAAGGTCTTGCAAAATTTGGTTTTCGGAAGCGTCAAGTGCACAGCTTAGCTAATGCAAAAAAAAGTTCTCTAACCTCACCGGAGACGGTTTTGTTCTTCGGAACGTCAATCCAAAACTCGATTTCTTTGTTGGTCAGTAATTTCTGATTTTTATATCAGGATTTTCGAACTCGCTTTGGTTCAGTTTCTGTTATTAGAAATTCGCTTGCTTTTTACCTGCTTGTATCATTGTGAAGCGGAGTTTCCACACTTACTAAGTTTTTGATGCAAGTCGGCGCAGGTATAACTGATTGTTCAGTAAAATGAATGGTAGGTAGGTTTCGCATTTGAGGAATTTTCGGTTTACTTTCATTGTCAGTTTTCCTACTCCAAGTTTACCTGTTCGCGTTTCCTTACCAAGTATACTTTATTTGCTTCTAAATTTTCTTGTAAATTTTACAGAAATAACTTGTTTGTAATAGCTGGAGTTAATAATTCTGTTCTTGTATTTTTTTGTAAAGCAACTGTGAAAATCAGTGTGATATAATGTGTTGGACTGATTTTTATTGCTGATCAGGTCCCCCTGTTTCGTTTTGAAGCAAATGACGATGGAATATGCGGGCCATCAAGTAATTAACGAAGAGAATGGCAGTAATAGAAAACTTAAAGGTATGTCGTTGCATTGGAAGCTGTCTTCTTAACCAAGATATTTTACTATATTTAGCGCTCAATACAGATGAAACAGTGAAATAAGGTTGAAAAATTTTGTAGTTTCCTTGGTTCCGGGTTCTATCAGCCCGGCGCCGCTATAATCTGTCTCGTCTCTCTTGGGCTTTCTCTGGTTCTAAAGCAATTCACTATGATTGAATATTCCGTTTAACAGCTTTTTAACCGCAAAACCTGCAATATACTCTTACATCTAATTTATAAATAAAGAAGTAAAGAAGTAAATAATTATATATGCCACTTTTGCTTAACTGTATATTTATTTTACTTTGTGTAGTTTCTAAATGAATAATTTGCATACATCGATTTATGCTTCAAACTGGTGACGAATACAAATGGACAAACGTCATTTTGCGTTAAATTTAAGGTAATAATTATTATAGGAATTTACTGCTGCAGTCTTTAATAATTGCGAAATAAGTGGGAAAAAAATACAGCTGTTCTGTTTAAAAATCATCGATTAGTTGTTTTTAATTGGTATTGTTAGGCTAAAATACGTCACTTTTTTGGTCTAAGAGAACTTGCGTCATTAAAAAGACACATAGAAAAAATTGGCTTGTTTTTTAGTTTTTATTTTTTTCTTTTTTTTGTAATATTTTTTGTGATGGAAAACCTTTTTTTCTTGCTCTTTTCAGTTTAGCAGCAGTACCAGCAAAGGGTGTGATAGTGACATGATTTAAAGTCTTTTAACGATATTTTTTTTGTCGGTTTTTCAGCTTTTCTGCACTGTTTCATCGATGCTTAGGAGGATGGAGAAGAGAGGGGGGGAGGGAATGAAGCGAAGTGCAAATGCGTTTTGGTTAGAAAAATAATGGGATATTTTCTGCACATTTTTAAAATTATCAGTGCCATCGAGAAGAAGAAGTAAAGATGCTTGATAGCTGTAATGCAACAAGGTTTCAAAGATGATTTTTGGTCTTGTTTAAGTGCCGATGATCTTAAAGATTTTTCTGGAATGGTACAAAGGTTCATAGCACAGAACAATGGTTGTAGCGATGGAGTGGAGAACGCGTTTTTTTTTCTGTAGTTTGTTGTTTTATTTAGGAATTGAATTCAATCAAAATGATAAGGAATATTTATTGGAAAATTTTAAAAAATTTTTCAATAATCACAAAAAAAAAAAACCAGTTGGCTATTTGTTGTTGGTTTTTTTTTTTGCTGCTGCTGATTATAATGATAATGGTATAAAAGTAGGAAAAGTGAAGTACTCTGTAGTTACTCAATAAGGAAATGAAATTATTTATTTGTTTAAAAATTTTGGCTATATATGCTGAGCTTAGCAGATTCGAAATGAGAACAATAAGTTTAGCTTTGTGTATCAGCTGCCGTTTCCAACAGGTCTTCGATTGCTGTCAAAAGTTTGTTATAAAGTAGATTTCCCAAAAACAGATACTTCGTTCATTTTGTTGGAAAAAATGTTTCAAATAGTTTAAAATCGTTGAGCAAGTAGTTTGATGTATAGTTGTTTTATACAACGTCAGTTATATTACCAAGAATTAATAGTTTTTGAGCTTTAAGACTGTTACATAACGTTGAGCAGTGAACAAACGGAAGAATCTTCTCGGAGAGCTTTACGGAATGATGGCTACTGAAAAATATTGAAATGCGAAAGATGCCGGAATTTATGTACCGCAAATTTAATATTTTTGCTTATTGTAGGAATGCTTCTTTTTTTTCCAATTATATATTTGTCAACGCTATTTTAAAACTTCTCTACAGTATTCTTAAAATAATGAATTTTTTATGTTTTCCATATTATTCAGGTATTACTTGATTGGATTACGTCAATAAACGGAAACCCAGTGAAATTATAATGACTGTGAAGTAAAAGGGAAACGATGCAGAATATATTAGAAGGTATTTGGACTGTCATTTATAAGTATTTTTTTCATTGTTTTACAGCTCTGAAACGGACAGTTAGCAAATTCTCACCTGTTTAACACCTTAGTTTTGAACTGATACGTGAAACTAGTTATATGGTTTGATAAGTGAAAATTTAGATCTCTACCTGAAATTTGGTCTTCTTGTACACTTTGAATTCACCCTTTTGCATTTATTTTTTCACCCTCATCTTCTCATCTTTACATAGTTAATTTTTTCTTTTCTATGTATATATGTGTTTGAAAGTATATTAGGTGGATTCAATCGCACAACAGATGGAATTACTTCATTAGCGGAAAGAAATTATGTGGAAAAAAAGACAAGGATGTGTAATTGTTAACTGTTGATTATGGTTATCATTATATTTGAACAGCAGAAAAACGAACTGTTGCTACCAAAACTTCAAGGTGGAAAAATGGGAAAAAGGAAAAAAAAAGACCAAAAAACATTTTTACAGATATTGTTGTTGCGCTGATGAAATCTAAAAAACTGAAAGCTGAAAGAAGAGGAGAAGGAAAAAAAACAAAACAAATAAATATTGTGAAGAATACGTGCTTTTTGAGGGATTTTCTTTTTTTTTTTTCTCCTCTCTCTCTCCCATCGTAACAGAGTTCGCAAATTAAACAAAAAATCAAAAGAATAATAGATTTATGTGTCTGTTATTTTATTATTTTTTTTTTTGTCATTTCTATAATGTATCATTCATTCTTTTTAGGTTAAGAGATTAAAAATATTGAAAAAGAAAATGAGCTTTTATTTTGGTTTTTTTTTTTGCACTTTTTTACCTATTTATGTCATGAAAAACAATAAATATTTAGGATCAGATATGGTTTTAAAAGCAGAATAAAGAAGAAAAAAAAAAGAAAAGAATCAGCAAAATATCTGTAGTAGCAATTAAGTTCTGCTCTTTGATTTTAGAGAATTCTAAATGTACCTTATCTTTGTCTCAGATATCGTTAATGAGTGCGGTAAGGGGCGGGAGAAGGATATAGCACTTGGGATGTCTGATAAAATGAACAATTAGTAAGAAGTATAATTTGATTCGCTATTTTTTAGTCTTTGTTTTTCATTAGTACCATTTTTAGTCAATAAATTTTATACTCTTTTTTTTTTTAGTTATTACTAACAAAAATCAAGAAATTATGGTTAAAATGATACATCATTTTTTTTTTTCTATTGTTCTCTAAATCAAAATTGTTGGTTAAGCAGAGGAAAAAAAAAGAAAACGAGTGTAGACGTTTAATGCTCATCGGAAAAGTTGTGCTGAATACAGCTGCGTTAGCAAATAGAATGTACCACCGATTGCAAACACCGATCACAAATATACAGAATTGATTATTGATGTTGATAGATGTTCTATTATTTTCATGCCGAATATATTTGCTACAGCAAACTGACATCACCAATACATCTGTAAATCCTTCGACTATTAACCTAAGAATCTACAGCAGTTATTGTGGATGTCGGTATTGCTAGAGGTGGTGATAATGATGCTACTAGTGTTACTGTCGAGCTATCAGTACTGCTACTCCCTTACCAATTTATATTGCTTATATTTACAGATACAGGTTTAAAAGGTAGAAGGCAAATTATGATGGAAACGAGCGTTTTTTTCTTCATATTTGTAACATTTATTTGGCGGACAATCAATGAAAATTGAAAGCTGAATGGACAAAAAGAAATTGTGAAAAAAAAATTTTGTTGAAGTATGGAACAGATTATCTGGAAACTCAACTAA